TGGTGTTAGCGGTTCCTTGGGCTTTGCCTGCTGATATATTTTAAATAAAGACTTATTTAGCAGGCAGGTCCCAGCATCCCTGAGCCTGACACATGCACACAGTGCACCCAACCCCTGCGAGCTGGCAGAATTTCTTCTCCAGCTCTTTTCACACCTTGAATATTATTGGAGAGAGAGGCAAAATAGGAAAATGAGAATAAAATGAGCTTTTCTCAGCTGTCCTTTGCTCCTGTGCAGGGAAAGCAATGCTGTCTCGCAGTATGTCTCCCCGTGTCAGGCTGCGATCTGAGGGTGAGCCCTGCTTTGCAAAGTGACAGAGCAGAGCGCTCCCCACAGGGCTGGGGAAACTGAGGCATGAGCGGCGTCTGGCACCCAAACCACCCTCGAAACAGAAGAGGTGTGAAGGTGGGGTGCTCGCCCAAGCTCCTCGTGCCCCGCCGGGGTGCGATTATCACCCAGCCGCCGCTGTGACCCGTCTGTCCCGGGACGGGCCCTCGGAGCTGCGGGCAGAGCCGGCGCTGCCTCTCCCCGAGCTAGCGGGGCCGGCGGGATTATCTGCTTAGCTGCACCATCTGTTCACCAAACTGCCATCATTATGTTCAACTTGGGAAGAAAACGGCCCCTACAGAGAAGCAATTTGTTCGCTGACTAAACCTTTCAGGCTCTCGCAGTCCGAACCTACCCTCGCCGCTGCACGGGCGAGCTCTCCGCTCGCGCCCGGCTCGCTTAAACAATCTGCGGGGAGAGTGGCGGCGCGCAAGCTGGTTGCACTGGTAAATGGGAGCGGGGAGGGCGCAGGGCTCCCCTAATCCGATTACAAAACATAACAGCCTTTCAGAGGGGCCGGGGGGCCGGGCAAGGGGAGGAGGAGGGAGGTCCATTTCACACCCGACCCCTACGTCTGGGGGTCTTGCAATGATCTCACTGGAGGGGCTTTTCTTCCCATCGCAGTGGGTTGCTTTTGAAACGTGCTGCGAGGAGATCAAAAAGGGGAAAGGGGCTGCCTGGGAAAGAGGAGGAGAAGGCTGGGAAGGAGGTGAGGTGGGGAGGGGGTGGGCACCCCATTGCTGGGGCACCAGTCTTCGTGCTGCTTCGCCCTCTTGCATCCCTCCTCCACGACGTGGCACCGGGGAGCGGTGCATGGCACGGGGACATGGGCACGTGGGATGCGTCCTCCCCTGCGACCTGAGCCTGGAGTGGGGCTGGGGTCTCTGCACGGAGCGGGGACAGCAGAAACCCGCCCAGGGCCCATGGTGGCAGCAGGAGTGGAGCCCCGTGGCCCGCTGCCCTGTGTTTTGTTGTGGAAATTCAGTGGCACCGAAGCATTTAGCAAATGTGTTGGTTTCACCAGGTTTTCTGTAACGAACAACTGAAACTGGAAAAGTTCAAGTGATGGTTTGAATTATATCGAAGTGCGAAGTTTTGAATTTCTGCTGTGGAGCAATGCTTCAGACTCCAGATTTTCTCTAATTTGATTTAATTCCTTTTAGAAAGGATAAAGATCCCTGTTTAAAAGTGATGCTTTATTGTCAGCCTGCAACCAAATGATTTTTATTCATTTTTTTGCATCTTTGATGCAATAATTTAAAAAAACCTGTGTGTTTCAACAGCAGCAGGTATTAAAACAAGATGGCCCCTAATGTGGCCACTTTGGGTAGCAAACTGCTTACCCCCAACCTCGCTGCGTTGGCCCGGAACCCCCTGTCCCCCCTGCGTGGAATGGGGCTGGGGCCCCCTCCCTGGGGTCGGTGTCGGCAGCTGGGGACATCTGCGCCCGCAGAAACCCCACATGGCGAGCGCCGGAGTCTGGCACCGGAGGTGTGAAAGCATCTGGCAGCTGCCCTGGGCTCATGGAGGTGGGTGCCCCCAAGCCTCCTGCCACCGGGGACCCCTGGCACGGCCACCGTCGCCCCTCCGGGAGCCCTTTGGGGCTCTGCCCTTGCTCCAGGTGCTGCAGGACCCCCTGTGGCTTTGCTTGAGCTGCCACGTTCCCAGGGTGCTCGAACCTGCTCCTGGGCAGGAGGTTTGGGGGCAGCTGCCTGCACCTGGGGCAGGCAGGCAGGGTGAGAGCCTCTCTGCAGGGAGCATGTGGAGACAGGGTGCTGGGTGCTGCCGGGGGTCCCGGAAAGCCGGGGGACCTGGGGGTTGCAACGGCCAGGGGAGCATCCCTCTCCCGACGGGGCTGAGTGCTGGGGGGCACGTTCCTGTTTTGAGGAGGGGGGCTTGGCCCCAGTCCCTGGTGCAAGGGGAAGGCTGGGGACCCCAGTGTCACCCTGGTCTTGCCCCGGGTGCTCTGGGCTGTCGCACGCACTGGTGGCCAAGGCTCCAGGAGGGTACCCCCCTCAGCAGGGGGATGACGATGGGGATGGGGTAACCCATGAACCCCACCGCATGGGCAGCAGCCTTTAGGGTGAAGGGGGGTGCTGGGGGCTTTGCTTTCCCGCCTGGAAAGAAACCTGAAGGAAAAAGCTGGGCAGGTGCTGCGTGAATTCACTGGCAAATCCTGAACCTACAGAAGACATATGTGTTTTAATAGTTGTGTGCAAAAGCATCCGTAGAAAGTCTTTGCTGCTTTCTGTGGAGCCTGGTACGCCCCTTCCTCGACACAGCCCCCCTCGTTGCCTTCATCTCTCTGGAGAGCAGTAGATGGGGAAACTGAGGCACAGAGCAGAGAGGGGAAGCAGCTGAGCCAAGTCTGGGCACCCCGAGGTGTCCCTGGAGCCAGCCGGGTTGCTCCCACAACAAGCACCCGTATCACTGCAGCATCTCTTCACCCCACAAAGGCCTGCGGGCACCCGGCTGCTCCCAAAACCTTTGGGACCAGGCGCTGGCTCCCACACAGGGACAAGCCTGGCTGCCTCCAGAGCAGGCTACTGGGAAGTTCAGGCTGCTGGAAGCTGCCCGGCACTGGGCAATGCTGGCAGAGGGTTGAGCCTGGTGGTGCAGGACCTCACTGGGACGTCGGGGTCATTAGACCAAGGTGCTGGTGCCCGGCTCCTTTCTGCTCGCCCTGTGGTCGCATCCTTCCTCGGCCACCTGCACAAACGTGGAGACACGGAGAGGGGCAGAATTGGGCCCTGCTCGGGGCAAATCAGGACTGGATGGGGGGGAACATGGGGGGCTTTAATGAAGCTGTCTCCCACCCCAAATGCTGCGGCGGGAGGAGGCAGGGTATCGGCAGCCGGGGAAGCAGCATCCGCCCCCTGCTGCTGCCTGAGCCTCATAAACCCCTTTTTTACCAGCAACCCCCCAGCTTTACCTCCCAGAGGACTCTGTTTTCCAGGTACTGCGTGTCCGGGGGAGACCTCAGCCCCTTCATTTTCAGGATGGCTCCTGAGGATGCCAAAAACCGGGCGAGGGCGTCTGAGAGCGGGGCGACCGGCCCAGCCCGGCTCCTCTCGCCGGGCTTCCCCTGACATCTAGCGGCAGCGCTGGGCTGGGCTGCACGGAGCCCCGGTCCCGGGGGGCAGCCCCGGCCCCGGGGGGGTTTGCGCAGCGCCGAGCACTGCCGGGCTCTGCCCACCCCGGCTGATGGGGAGGGTCCGCTTTGGGGCTGCTCCCCAAAACCCATCCGTTTCCCTGCCCCTCGCACCCTCCGTCCCGTCCCACCCGGGGCACAACTCACCCGTCAGGCAGCCCCCGAGCGTGGCGAGCAGCAGGGTGATGGGCAGGGCGCAGAGCTGGCAGAGCGCCTGGTCGGTGGCTGTCCGGCTGCCCTGGGCCACCAGCGGGAACACCAGCTCCAGCCTGCAAGCCGGAGCGCAGGGATGGATTTTTGGGGAGCTCGTTCTCCCAGGCAGGGAAATGGAGGGGTCCACTCATGGCTCTGGGTGATGTGCTATCAGGGGTGCCGTAATAGAGGGTGCATGGAGCATCCCCGATTTCAGGGGTTGTGGTGGCCACAGCTTGGTGCGTGGAGTCACTGGCACCCTGGATTCTGGCTCTTCTCACCTGCCGCCGTAAGCATCTGCAGTGGCCAGCGCTGCCAGCAGCGTCCCCAGCAAGGCGCCCAGGATCCCCGGCAGCCCGTGGACGTTGTGAACCCCACACGTGTCCTGGGTTTTCAGCCTGGAGCACAGGATGGGCTGGGGAGAGCGTTAAGAGCCAGGGTTCGGACGGGGGGTGCTTGCCCAGGGAGGCTGCGCTGCGGCTCAGTGTTTGCAGGTTTGGGAGCTGCAGGTTGGCAACGCAGCCTCCCCCGAAGCAGGGAGTTCCCCTGACCTGGGACTAGTGTCCTTGGTTGTCCCAAGGCGACTCACCGTGAGGAATCTGAAGCCAAGCGGGGGGATCAAGCCGGCCAGAAACCCCGCGATGAGGGCCCCGAAAGGGGTGACCAGCATCTCCCCAGCCATACCCATCATGGCCGCGCTGGCCAAGGTGGCATCCTGGATCTGAACCTGATGGAGCAGGACATGGTTGGGGGAATAGGCTCCGTGGAGGACATCAGCATGGAGCTGGGGGGATTTGGGCTTCCTCGGGGATCAAACTGGGTCTTAACAAACCTAAGCAAGCCTAACGGGCGTTCTCTTTTGCCCCGGGTGTATTCATGCTCGCCATCCCTGTAGGATGGGGTTTGGGCAGTGCATGAGACTTGGGTTTGTCCCAGGAGAGGACCTACCATCCGCAGGGTGCTCTCCTCGTAGAGGACAGGCGAGAGGACGAAGGTGGCCAGGGTGCTGGCTGCCAGTGAGAAGTAGGTGTTGAGCACTGCCCAGGGCTCGGCGTTGTCACGGACCGTGGTGGCCGAGGTGAAGCTGGGCCAGAAGATCCACAGGTAGAGGGTTCCTATGGGGAACAGGTAGGTTTTGATGTTGGGGTTGATCCCTCATGGGAAAGAAACTTCTTGCTAGTGCCAAGAGATGCAAGTGGCCGCAGCTTGCGGTGTGGGAGGTTCAGGATGGACAGGAGGAAAAGCTTTTTCCTGGAGAGGGTGGTGCAGCCCTAGGCCAGGTCCCCAGGGAGGTGAAGAACCTCTGTCCTTGATGGTTTGCAGGACTCTGCTGGTCAAAGCCACAGCCATGCTGTCCTAACATTGGTGATGGTCCTTCCACCACCATGTCTATGACTCCGGTACTGTAGGATTCAAGCTCCGTACCAACCACAGCAAAGACATCTGGCTGGTGCCCTGTGTCCTGCTGCTCTTTCCTCTTGTCTGTATGGGGCTGGTGCAAGATCCGTGAAACCATCAAGCCAAAATAAGCACCGAAGGTGTAGACGGTCAAGGAGCCCCCGCTGTCGCTTACCTGGTGAGTACAGAAAAACACCGTGCAGGAAGGGGGGGATATGGGATTTGTCTCTACGGACGAGGCAGGTCTTGACATGAGGAGCCTAAACCCATGGTCACCCCCTTTCTGGTGGGACCCCCGATCGGTGACTCACCCCCATGAGACTGAGCAGGATGTATTCATTGAGAGCGAAGAGGGTGACTCCCAGCAGGGTCAGCAGCAGCATCTGGATGGGGTTTACCCTGCCCAGAACAGCTCCGGTGGAGATCAGAATGGCTGCGGCGCAGAAGTCGGCACTGACCATGCTGGGAAGGAGAGGGAAGGCGGGGGGCTGGACCCGGCGCTGTCGGGAGGCGAGCAGGGTTGAGGGGGACAGGAGCTGAGCCTGCAGCCCGGACCCTGCGTCCCATCGCTCCTGCAAGCTGAACGGGCAGCCCGAGCCTTGCGATGCTGGTGACAAAGGGACGGCTGGGCTTGAGGCAGGCGGGGGCCACTGTGCACCCCCTAAATGCCTGGCTGTAACGTTGGCAGTACTTACGTGGCCCTTACTAGTGTGGTACTCAAATAACCCAGCAGCCTGGTCCTACTTGTCCTCATAATCCTCCTCCAAAGCAGAGCGGTGAGTTTTACAGAGGAGGGAGCCAGTGTGCCAGGGCTGGACCTGGGACGATGGCGGCTGGGCAGCAGCAGCTCCCTCCTGCCTTACCTCTGAGCTCCCACGTAAATTTTGCCATTCAGGAAGAAGTATAAAAAACCCTGGATCAGTACGTCCCACTGGATGGCGAAGGCCACGACGAGGATGCTGATGGCCACGCTGCCTGGCCCGTAGCGGCCGAGGAAGGCCACCAGGAGCCCGAAGCCAAGGAGAGCTTGAAGGTGGACATCCCGGAAACCTGGCGGAGGAGAGGCAGGATGGGTCTGGAGGTGCTGAGGGTAGGCAGCCGCCCTCCTGCCTGCTGTCCCCCCGAGGGGGCTCAGACACCCCTGCTCTAACAGGTTTTGGGGAGCTGAAGGCTTCGGCTGCTATAAATCAGCCTTGCTCCACCTGTGTGTCTCTGGAACCGTGGTGGATCTGGCCTTGGATCTCCCTTGGACATCTCCAGCGGAGAGCATGAGTGGCCGCTGCTTGTGCTAGCGGCAGGTAACGCTGTCCCCACCCGACGTAGCCCCTGCCGCCCTTTGCGGTGGCTCCTGGCCACCCCGTTTGCAGCTGCCCTGTGCAGGTACCTCAGCAGATGTACGCAGCCCCGAAACCTCTTGGGGTGGCCGAGAGTCACCTGCACCCGTTACGCCAGCGCGAAGGTGGGTCTGAGGTGTCAGCCACCCCCCGGGACCTCTCTGCTGCCCCTGAAAACATCACGTCCCGCTTCGTGGGACAAGAGGACCAGAAGGGTGAACGGAAAAATGGGACCAGTTTAGTGGCAAACCAGAGGAGGGGGGACTCGATTTTCGCTTGGGCGAAACGCCCTTTGCACCCCTCGGCCGTGCCAAGAGCTGTGTCCCGTCCTTCCCTGTGCGCCGGAGCCGTGAGTCACTGCCTGCGCTGGGTGCGGTTACGTGGGCAGGCGAAACTGGGAGAACCTGCCTGCTCCCTGCAGCTCGGCTGGGCTCAGCTCCCCTCCCTCCGCCAGGGTGCTCCGGACGCTCCTTTCCAATCGCCTGCCTTGCCCTTGCCGTGGAAAAACCAGGCTCAGTCCCTCGTCCCCCAGTCCGGGATGAGTTTCACAGCGATGCCCAGCATGCGGGAGGATGCTCCTGGCGGGGTGCGCCCTCAGCCCTGCGTCGGACGCTGTGGCAGCACCAAGGGAGCCAAATCCTCCATGAAAGAGGCTCAGGGCAAGTCTCTTGGCACTGCAAAACCCGGCGGGTCGGGGGGAAGCTTCACAGACCCCAAGGTGCCAGGAGCAGCTGCCGTGCTCCACGCCTGGGAATGGGAGGACAATCCCAGATTTATCACTGCACCGACTGATCCCCTCTCTGCTCCAGCTGCTGAAACATGTGTCCTAGACCCAAATATCCCTGTTTGGGGCCTGGCTTTGTCCAAGCATGTGGGAAATCCTTGCAGCACATCTGCTTTCCACCCACTGACCCCTCCTTGGTGGGATGCACTGGTACCCCGACACTGCGGCTTGATGTTCCCCCTCCTCTGTTTTACTCTGGAGCCTGATCCAGAGCTGAGCAGTGTGACAGGTCTGCAGCCTGGACCGAGCACGGTGACATCCCTTGTCCCCCCCCCAGCAGCTCCTGGGGACCAGGTAGACGCTCCTGCACCCACCTGGGGTGGGGGTACTCACGCGGGTGCTGAAAACCCGAGTCCTGGCTTCTCCAGCTGCAGTTCTGGGAGCAGAGGCCGGGGCTGCTTTCTGGGCTGTACCGGACAAAAACGGCGAAGAGGATGATGGTGAGGATTTGGAGGAGGAAGCACAGCGCGGAGAGCCGGAGCCTTGAGGCGGCGGTGTGCTCTGGCATGTTGCCAGGTGGCTGGGGCAAGGCAAAGACCCCGAAACTGGGGACACGCGAGTGAGAGACACGCTGGGGCTGCAAACTCCGCCTGCCAGGGTGGCTGCCAGGTCCTGCCCTCGCCTTGGTGTTTCCCAAGGGCGGAAGAGCCGGCCGGGAGCGGGACGGCGCTGCCAATGCGGAAACCCCGGGCTGGCACGCCTCGGCACCTGGTTTTGCCACATTTTGGACCACTGTGCCGGGGAAGCGGGTTGAGTTTTTGGTGTCAGCATCGGTCTTGGCTGGGTGCCGGAGGGTCGGGGTGGGATTTGGGGTGGGGGGCGAGCTGTGGCTGGGGGGTGCCTGAGGTTTCTCGCTGCAGAGGTGCTGGGCTCTGGCAAGCTCAGCAAAGCCGGGTTTAAACTCCCTGCTCAGTAGGAAAAATGATGGTTCAGGGGGGTTTTGGTGACGAGGTGACCTGTGGGGCTGCGTGGGGAGGAGGAGAAGCTGAGCCTTGGAAAACAAGGGCGAGGAGCGGAGTCAGCGGCTGCTGTTAGCAACCCGCGCCAGGAGAGGTGGGGGGGAGCTGGAACGCAAGGGGTTCCTTTGCTTTTCTTTGGCTGCTTCTGCTTTTGCAGAGAGGTGTTTGTAATGCACCGAGAGCGGGTACAAATCCCAAAAAGGGAGAAGAAGAGAAAAGGAGCCGAGAAGTAAAACACAGCCTGTGTTTGGGAAGTGGCTCGGGTAACTCCTTTCCACAGCACCGGGCCAAATTATGATCTCAGATAAGCAGCATCGGGCTGGGGTCATGCCCTGACGCCAACGGGATGGGGAAGGGGAATGAGTCACTTTTGGAGGCTCCGGCAAATGTCCTGCTTCAGGCTGTGGTTTTGTGAGAACTGAGGGGTGTAGCTATTGCCTTCACTTGGGAAAAATGCAAGAAAGGACTCAGTTCATCCATGGTACTGTGGAGCTGGGAAACAGCACCCTCCGGCCAAGGAGCCCTGAGCCACTGCCCCGGGGTTGGGCACTGCTGGGGGGTCAGGCTCCGCTTTGGTAGCCGTGGGCATGGGAAGGAGCAGGGAGTGATGGAGGGAGATCACAGATGCTCTCTGAACAGCCATGGACCTACAAAATAACCGTGGGGAGATGCAGGAGGGGAACGTGCAGTGATGCTGTGGTTTAGCCTTTCTCTGCATGGGGGTGGCAAAGCTCTGGCCACCTTTTGCTCATTAAAATGAGCCAAAGAACTGACCATTTTGAGCTGGGAGAGCCTTGGAGGCTTCCAGTCCAGCCTGCGGGCATCACAGTTAGGGCAGGTTAGTGCGTTAACCCCTCTGTACAAGCAGCCAAATTTGAAGAGGGGCTGGGAGCCGCAGGGAGTGGGCTGGGGGCAAGGGACCAGCGCACGCCCTGGTGCCGCTTCCCTCCGGCGAGGTTTGTTTTCTGTGCCGTGCGTGCCACGGCGAAGCCGGGATCACTGTGTCCTTTGGTGCCGGGGACAGACGCTGCTTGTCTTGTGTTTCCTTTGAGAAGAGCTTCCTCCACCCCTGGAGATGGACCCAGGGGGAGGGAGAAGATAAGGGAGCCCAGAACACAGCCTCATTGTCTGGCCTTGTTTTGCTCCCGGCAGCATCCCGGCCCCAAGGTGACGATGGGGAAGCCTCTCTGATGCCTTTTCACAGGGCGGGATAAGGCCGGTGGGATGCGAGAGCAGCGGGGACCCGCCTTGCACAACCTGCGGGAGCCCCGAAGGGTGGGAGCAGCATCCCCCCATCAGAGACATAAAATTAAGCATTGCCCTGATGTGCGCGGGAGCAGAGAGCACCGTCCTGGCACGGGGGGCCAATGCCGAGGGGGGGCTTTGCCGGCCCAAGGGGCTGCCGGAGCCCTGTGCGGTGCTGGCGTTTTCCCTGAATTCCCCGACGCTGTGGCCTGTAAATAAAGGGATATTTGTTAGCCTGGCGCGCTGTGTTTTGCCGAGCAGAACAATAAAGAGAAGATGCTCACAATGGGAAATTGTGCTTCCTCCTCCCCGTGCGTTCCTCGGGGAGGTGTTGGGGAGGAAAAAAAAAAAGAGAAGAAAGCGGGAAGAGACAGCGACAGGGCAGGGAGCGAGGGCACGGCTGGCGCTCGCCACTCCCGCACGCCATGGGAGCAGGCGCCAAGGGACCGCGGGGCCCCAGGGCTGCCGGGACGCTGCCCGCCCCGGGATGGTGACAGGGCAGGGGCTGGCTGGGAGCACCTGCTCGCCGCGTCCCCGTGTCCCCTCTTCCCGGCAGCACCGCAACGCAGGTTTGGCCTTTCCGGAGCCCTCGGCCCCGCGATGGGGCAGCTGTGACGGAGACGGGACGCGGCGGGTGCCCGGGCAGGACGCGCACTGGAGGCGTTGGATTGGAACGGTGGCTCCCCAAAGGACGTGGCTGGGGACGGTAAGAGGTGTGGGGTGCCGAGGAGGAGGGTTGGCACATTCTGTTGGCTCGGTGTTCTGCGAGGGGATGTCTCCTTTGCACAGTAAATTGTCAGTGAGCCCCCAGTGGAGCAGGGCCATCCATTGCCCCCACGGCATCCCCAGCAGCAAGCACTGCAGGTGCCCCCCGCCACGTCCACCGGTCCCCACCGAAGCCGGGGTACATCCATGACCTCTGCGCTTCCCCCCAGGCACCGTCCTGCCCCCAGCTCTAAGGATGCACCGGCTTCTCCTGCTTGGCTCCCTTTGGCTCTTGGCAGCACCGCCAGCATCAAGCATCTTCCAGCGGCCGACGGGGAGCCCAGGTAGGGAGCAGGACCTGGGGGGAGGACTCGGTGCTAGAGGAGGGAGGTGATGCTGGGGGGTTCCGGCCAGGGCAGGGGCTGAGGGGGGGAAAAGGAGCCAGGATGGGTGATGGAAACCAGGCTGGAGATGCCAATGACGGCCAAGGGGCATCAGGGGAGGTGTTGAAGGGGTGGTGGGCCACAGAAATGTGACACACGAGCCAAGGTTGAGGCTGCCCGGCTGTGCCACAGCCCCCCCGCGCCTGCAGTACCTGCTGGAGCCCCTCCACGCCGCGGTGCACACGCAGCGGGGTGCCACGGCCACCCTGCCCTGCGTCCTGCGCGCCCTGCCCCGCAACTACCGGGTGAAGTGGAGCAAGGTGGAGCCGGCCAACTACCGGGAGAACATCATTATCATCACCAACGGGCTGTACCACAAGAACTACGGGCCACTGAGCCCACGGGTGCGCCTGCGGCACAGCCACCGCTACGATGCCTCGCTCACCATCACCAATGTGGCTCTGGAGGACGAAGGCCGCTACCGCTGCCAGCTCGTCAACGGGCTGGAGGATGAGAGCGTCTCGCTCACGCTGCACCTTGAAGGTGAGGCTGGGCTCCCTCCCGCCGCATCCCATGGGGAAGAGTGAGGAGGGGACCCTGGCCTGGGCTGGGGGTCCGTGGCTGGGTGCCTCTACCCCTTGTGTCCCCTGTTGCAATGTCCTATGCCCCAGCCTTACCTTCAGCACCGAATCCCCTGGGGATGTTAAGCCAAATCCTCCTTGGGGAAAGCATCTTCTTCACTCTCTGTCCCTGTCCTTGTCCCCCCAGGTGTCGTCTTCCCCTACCAGCCCAGCAACGGGCGCTACAAATTCAACTACCACGAAGCCAAGCGAGCCTGCGAGCAGCAGGACTCCCGCCTTGCCACCTACCAGCAGCTCTACAAAGGTAAAGCATCCAAAAAAAAAACCCAAAACCCTCATCCACCCCAAAATGCTCCTTGCTGGGCATGGGAGCAGGGAGGAGGGAAGTGCTGGTGCTGAGCCGCCTCTTGCCCCACAGCCTGGACGGAGGGTCTGGACTGGTGCAACGCCGGCTGGATCCTCGATGGGACTGTCCACTACCCCATCATCAACTCGCGGGAGCCATGCGGTGGCCGTCTTCTCCTGCCAGGTGTCCGGACCTACGGGGCCAGGGACAAGCAGAAGGACCGATTCGATGCTTTCTGCTTCACCTCTGCTCTTCAAGGTAGTGCTGGGGTCCCCCGTCCCTCCCACAGTGGCACTGAACCCCAATGCCCACCACCCGGCTTTGCATCAGGGCTGGGGTTGTTCCCAGGAGGTCATCCATGGTGGCCGCTCACCCCATCCATCCCCAGGCCAGGTCTACTTCATCCGAGGCCACCTGAACTTCAAGGAGGCTGGGCAAGCGTGCCGCAACCACGGGGCTGCCATCGCCAAAGTGGGGCAGCTGTACTCCGCCTGGAAGTTTTCCCAGCTGGATCGCTGTGACGGGGGGTGGCTGGCGGACGGCAGCGTGCGGTACCCCATCACCACCCCCCGCGAGCGCTGCGGGGGGCTGCCGGACCCCGGTGTCCGCAGTTTCGGCTTTCCCAGCAAGGAGCTGCGGACCTATGGCACCTACTGCTTCGTGGAGAAGTAGGAACGCTGGGAGGAGAGGGGGGCTGAGCAGAAGGGACGGCGGTGGGACGCCGGCCCTCGTCACCCAGGCGGAGAGCTTGAGGCAGGGGATGAGGGGGGGTCTCCCGGTGATTTCGGCTGGTTCGTGCATCCTCCAATGGCGCGATAGAGCTGGGTTTGGGTTTGCTCGGTGTATCCTCTGATGGAGCTGCTCCCCACGCCCCAGCCTCCTTTGGGGCTTCCTGGGTGCTGGGGGCTTGCTGGAGAAGCCAGACCCATTGCTGGGCCAGGAAGGGGGCCTAATCCAGCCCCCCGGCAGGCAGCACAGGCTCCCCGTTCCCCAGCCCTGGTGCATCTCTCGCCCCATCCTTGCTCCCCGCAGCCACGAGGACTCTGGCTGGTGCAAGCGCGCTGGAGGGCCGGGCATTAACGAGCGTGACTAATGGAGTTTCGCCTTCTCAATTAATAAAGCGACGGTAAAGCTGCACGGCAAAGCCACGTTCTCGCCTGGCCTCTGCCCCCTGGGACCGCCTGGCCTCTCAATGAGGGGAATTTGCCAAGGACTTTCTGTCTCAAGCAGGGAGGCAGCCAGTGGGGCCCCCCCCGGCCGCCCCGTCCCGGGGGTTATCGGTGTCCCTGGCACCGCACACTGGGGGTTTCTGAGTTTTGCTGTTCAATGGGGCCAGGGAGAGCTATAAAAAGCACCGGAGCTGGCATGGCACAGGGGGAAAAACAGCGTGGGGAGATGCCAGCATCCCCTGGTACCCGCGCTGTACCCCCAGGTCCCGTGTGTTTGCTGGGAGCAGTGTCCCAGCCCGAGCCCTGAGCGGTCCCCAGTGCTGCCAGGATGCGGGGGCACGTTGGGCTGTGCCTCCCTCTTCTGTGGTCCCTGGGGACGTCGCCATGCCCAGGCTGTGCCAGGGGCTCAACGGCACTGGTGGGTGCTGCCATGCTCCCCATTTTGGGGCTGTGCAGCCCTGCCTTTCCCACCCCTGTGCTGGGGCTGCCCCAAATGACCAGGCCACCGCTCCGCACCATCCATTTACTGGTTTTAATACCCACAGAAGCACAGAGCGGGGGTTTGGGCAACGTGTGGCCACTCCGAGCCTGCGGCAGTGGCTTCTGCTTTTCCTGGGAAGTGCAAAAGCCCCCCTGCACCCCGGGACGGGTGCTGAGCTGCAGCACAGGTTGGATGTCCCCGTGTCACCTCCCACCAAGGTGTCACAGGATGAGGACCCTTGGGCCAGAGGTGGGAGAAAGCGGCTGGAGGTGACGCTGGCACGTCAATGCCATCACCTGCCCGTGGTTCCCCCCCTTGATTTCGACCCGGTTGTGACTTCAGGAACAAAACACCCCTTGTGCTACGTTTTGGGTCGCTGTCGGTTCCTTTCGAGGGGATCTTTAGTTATTAGGATTTCTTTGTACAGATATAAAACAAACAAGGAGGCAGACATCCAACAGTGAGGTTTCGTGCCACGCCAGGCTCCGCGCTGGCGTCCCCGTGCCGTCCCCATCCACGCCGGCTCCAGGGCCCGGGGAGGTGGTGGCTTCTGCCCTGGGGACTTGCTCAGTCATCGGGGAGCTGAGCCAGGCCTGGGGGGACACAAGAAACCCCAGGTGAAGGGAAAGCCCCAAAGGCAGGTGCTGGGGGGAGCTGGGGGAGTTTTGGGGAGCCCTGCGCTCACTGGGGCGGCAGGCCAGCTGAGGCGGCTCCCAGGTCCCATCCTCCCGGCACCGGATGATGGGCGAGCGGCGCTGGACGAAGCCACGGCGGCACTGGTACCGCGTGATGGAGCCGATCTCGTAGCGCTGCTTTGGTTTGCCAAAAGTGCGGGCGTTGGTGACGGCGGGGGGCGGCCCGCACTGCACTGCAGTAGGGGGGAAGGGGGTCATTGCACCCAGCCATGGATGGGCACCCCCAAACTGGAGCAAACTGCCCCCCAATAAACCCCAAACAAGCCGAAGCTCCCATGCACGGGACCCGTTTCCCCAGCGCGGGGATGGTGGGGAACCCCACTTTGGGGTCACGGAGGTTGTAGGAGAGGTGGTAGTTGCAGGGCACGTCGCTCCACTGGCCCCCGTCGTGCCACACGATGACCACGCAGTTCTCCCCAGAGAGAAAGTAGCTGTCGGGCTGCCCGGGGTGCCAGTTCTCGTAGAGCTGGGAGGACAGGCGGGACGGGGTGCCCGGGGCACCCCAGCACACCCTTTAAAGGGGGGGGCCGCACCAGTACGTACCCATCTGCAGGCTCCTGGCCGTGATACCCCCATCGGGAGTGAGGTCCCATCTCCATGCCCTGTGGCATGGCCTTGGGACCCCAAATCCTGGGGTCTGTCTCACCCACGGCACCCCCTGAGGATGCTCAGCCCAGCCGAGGCTCCTGGGGGGGCTTCAAAGCCTGGTCCCAGGGTCGGACCCATCCCGGGCACATTCCCAAGCGATGGAGGAGGATGATGAGGTGCCTGGGGGGTGGTTGTTCTCCTGGGGGGGCACAGGAGGGCTGACAGCCCGACTTACCAAGGGGCTCCCATCAGACCACTGGAAATCCCCCTCGATGGTCCGGTCGTTCAAGCCGATCCACTGGTACTCCCTGTACTGGTCTGGGGGGGTAAGGGAGGTGTTGGGGGGGGCACAACCAGGCTCCCCCAGCACCCCCCATCAGGAGGGGGCTCAAGGGAGCTGGAGGCTGAGTTTGGGGAGATTTGGGGTCTGGGGGGGAGTGCGGGGAGGTGGAGGTGGCCCCAGCCCTGCAGCTGGGGGGTCTGGGGACAAGGGGAGCCCCGAAGGGGACACAGAGGGGACCCCCCCGCCCTGCACCCCCGGGGGAGCGGCGGGACGGGGCTGGCCGGGAGAGGGCGGCAGAGCCCTGCCTGGCCCTGCCTGTACTTGCCAGGCCCTGCCTGTACTTGCCAGGCCCTGCCTATCCCTGCAGCTCCCTGCCTGTTCTTGCCTGTCTTTTCAGCTCCCTGCCTGTTCTTGCCAGTCCCTGCCTGGCCCTGCAGGTCCCTGCCTGCCCTTTTCTGGTCTGGCCGGTCCCTGCCTGTCCCTGCCTGTCCCTGCCTGTTGCTGCCTGTCCCTGCCCGGTCTCTCCTTGCCCCTTCCTCCTTCACGTCCCTCTGGCCTCTTCGCTCTCTGCTCCGTCCCTGCCGCTGTTGTCCCCTGCTCTGCCTCCCTCTGCCTTCCCCCCACTCCCTCCCCGTCCGCTTTCAGGCAGGTTATTACTTTGCCTTCAAATTTACTTGCACGTCTGTCCACCCATCACGCGTCTATCCATCTGCTCCCATGTCTATCCATGTATATATCCGTCTCCTCTCACATCTATCCGCGTATCTATCTACCTGTCCATCCATCCATCCTCCATCAGCCCAGCAATCCCACTGTCGCGCTTCCCCCGCCTCCCACTAGCCCAGAGGCCGGTGAGCATCTAACCACGCTCTGGGCAATCCATCATATCAGCTGTTTCCTTTACTCTTTATTTTCTTTGGCTTCCCTAGACTGTGTTTGCCTCTCCCTTGCCACAGCGGGGTAGGGCTTTGCCTTGGCTCCTGGCCGCTTTTTGGCTTAAGGTTTAAAACTCGAAGCCCAGCGCTGAGGGATGCTGAGGGTCCCGTGGGCAGAGGTCCGGGGGACGCAGTGGGGCCTGGGGTGGTGCCACGTACCGTTGATGAAGTCCTGCTCCTCGGGGGTCAGGATGGTGGCCAGGTGCCCCCCGTAATGCCTGCACTGGCTCTCCGCATCCTCCCAGCTCCTCCGGGTGGAGAAGTGCTTGTAGCAGGCTCCCTGGAAGCCATCCCAGCCGGGGCTGCACTTCTCCAGCACTGAGCCATGGCGGAGAGCAAGGGGGGAGAGAGGAGAGGGTCAGGGTGATGGAGCCCAGCTCACCAGCAAGCAAAAAAACCCCCAAAAACCTGATTTCCACACATTTATGTCTCCTGGGCTGCTGGTTTCCCCACACTTTTTTGCCTCGGGGCGTGGTGGTCCCCCAGCAGAGGCTGCAGCGGGAGCTGCCGTGGTGGCACGGCACGGCCGTGGTGGGACCTGGGGACTCACGTCTTTCGCAGTTGCTGCCTCCGTAGCCAGGCAGGCACAGGCAGGCGAGGCGGGCGCCGTCCTCCGTGCAGGTCCCTCCGTTCAGGCAGGGGTTGGGGACGCAGCCACCTGCAAGGCAGACGCAGCCGTCCTCACCGCGGGAGCTCAGAGATGGGGAGCACCTCATTAGCGCCCAGCATCGTTAAAGCCTCATCTCTGCCGTGAGCACCCTACAGCGATCAGATGCCCGAGTTGCCACTGCGGGCACAAAGTCTGGGGCAGGGGAAGGACTCAGGTTCACGGTGATGTGCCCGGAGCCATCCCGTCTGCCCACGCTTCATGGGAAGCTCCCAGCTCAGCCGCCCTGAGCTGGCTGGGCTTGGGGCTTGGGCCTCCCCCCAGGGCATGGGGACATGAGCTGGACGCTCTCATCTTCCACATCAGTGGGCTCGCTGCCATGCCAGCCCCTGGCCCGCTCCTGCAGCTCAAGGACGGCTCCTGCTTTCCCCCGGAGCGATGCAGTGAATGTGCTTTGGGATGGGATGTGCAAAGGATGAAGCCTTCGGCGCATCCCGGCTGCACGTCCTCAGCCTGGCAGCAAGGTGAGCCTCACGCCTGTCCCCCTGTTGTCACCTTCAGCCTGGCTGGGGCTGATAACTCAACCGGCGCCGTCCCTGACCCACACGTCCCCACCAGCCCATTACGGTCATTAAGGCGCCTGGAGTACATCGTGTGCTCCCAGCCCCAGCTCAAGAGCATGATTAAGGGCTGCCGCCAGCGCTGGCGGAGCGGAGACTGAAAGTCCTTGACACCCTCCAGCCTAATGATGCCCAGTTAATGGTCCTTGGCTCATTGGAGCCATGCCGAGGACGATGCTGCTGCCCTCACCCATCCCCAGACACCATCACCTCCCCGCAAGGTGCCAGCGGCTTGCCCGGCCATCCCCAGCAGACCGAGGCACGGAGCGGGATGAGCTATTTAGGGCCCTAACGCTACACAGCCGGCTCTTTCTGAGCATCTCTCCTTGCCAGGGTAAAGGCCACCGTCCCGTGAGGTCTGGCCACCCACCACGGAGCACCCTCTGTGCCACGGGACCGGGCAGGGCACTGCCAGACCAGGGACCCCGCGTGGTCCCCTCCGCTGCAGCCGCCCTTGCAGGGAGCCAGGAGGGCAGACGGGGCAGGGGCTTGGCTGCTGTAAGCGGCGTCGGAGCCGGGAGCATCCCGGCGTGGGGGCTGGCAGGTGGGTGACAACCACCCACGGCCGTTCACGCCCCCACTGCTCTCCCATCTCAGCCCCCATGTTGGGGGACAGGGGCTGGAGGGGGGGCTGTGCTCCCCAGGGGGGCTGCAGCAACTTCGGGGCGCTTGGCCGTCGAGGGCTGCGTGAGGTGGGGTGCTATCGGCGGGGCTCTGCACCCCGTGTCCCATCGGTGCCACCCGTGGCTCCAGGCTAAGCCCCCGCTGCTCGCACCGTGCAGCTTCCAGCCCTTCTCCCTCCACCTGGGGAAGCGCGGGGGGACCCAGCCCCGGGGGGCCGCACGGAGGGTGCCAAGCAGCCGTACCCCACCATCCCGCCCCGCACGGGGTCCCGTCCACCCTGCTCCCTGGGGACCGCGGGGGCGGGGGCCGGGGGATTAGTTCGTCAGTGGGAGAGGCGCGCGGGCGGTGAGCGAGGCAGCAGGCGCGAGGACGAAGGGAAGAGCTAGCCGAGGTGCTTGTTCTAGAAAGCTTTTAATTCCCTTTATTAGTACCACTGTTAGTCAGAGTAGGGTTTGGGGCCTTCTTTTGATTTTTTTTTTTCATGGAAACAGTCATTAAAACACTTCACAGAAGTAGAAGAGATTAAAGTGCATGCAGAGCTCAGACCAATTTGTTTGACAAATATGTGCTTCTCCAGACCTGTAACCTTCCCTTACCCAGCTGAGGAGGAGAGAGAGAGAGAGAGAGAGAGGAGAGACGGACGGACAGATGGACAGAGGGAAGCACAGCGTGAAGGAAAGGTGTTGGCTTTCTCTAGTGCCAGAGAGCAGCCAGGAGGGCTGCCCCGAGGGCGAGGGTGGCGCGGCGGGGAGCCCCGGCTGAGCGGGTGCCCGCGCCGACGCTGGCCCGCTCGGTGGGGAGGGCGGGCAGGGGGGCAGCCGTGCTGGGGGCCGGGTCACCCAGTGGGGTCCCCGCCAGGGTCACCCCGGCGCTGCCGGTATGGGGAGAGGTGAGGCCATCCCTGCGGGTCCCACCTGGTTCTCCGGGAACGGCTGCAAGGAAACCCTCCACGGTTGCAACGGAGGGAGCGGGTTGCTCTTCCTCCTCCTCCTCTTCCTCTTCTTCCGAAGATGCAGCAGGCATCCCGCCATCAGTGGCCGGGGGTCGCGGCACAGCCTCCTCACCTCCCGTGGCCGGCGTGCTGCTGCTGCCAAGCACCTCTGTGTGCCACGGCGTGACTGCCGTTGCCTCCACCGCGGGGCTGGTGCTCCCATCCCCTGGGGCCGCGGGTGAGGGGAGCCACAGGGCCCCCGACTGCTCCTCTCCCTCCTCCTGCGGCTGCGAGGGAGCGGGGGGCAGCGGGGACACCCCGGGGCTTTCGACCACATCTCCTGAGAGCTCGGTGTCTTCAGCGGCTGGGACGGGGGTGCTCGTCCCGCCAGGCTCATGGCCACGTGGCGGGGTCCCCCCATGCTCTTGGCTATCTGTCGAGGTGGCAGAAGTGGCACTGGTTGGCGATGTCACCTGGTGCCCAGGTGCCCCGGGGCTGGCAGTGTGGGCTGGCCGCCCCACAGCATCCCGTGGACGGTCAGGGCGATGTGTGAGGGCAACGGGGCTGAGCAGCCGGGGAAACCCCTCGGGAGGCTCCGTGTCACCTGCTGCGGCCCCCACCAGGGACGGGGCACCGGTGGGTCCCTCTGCGCCCACCCATGGGGCCACGGAGAGTGTCTGCGTGCCGGTGGCTCCATCCGGCTCCATGGGCTGGCTGGGGTCTCGCCCTCCGCCCGGGCTCTCCGCCGATGGGCTGCCAGGGTCCCTGCCCGGTGCTGCTCCCTGTTCCTCCTCTGCAAAGGGCAAGGCAGAAAGGCAGTGAGATGCTGGCGTCGGGGAGCCAGCCAGACCGCAGGGCTGCGGGCACTGGCATTGCCCGCCAGTGCTGCAGGTCCTGCGCGCAGTGGGCAGAGCTGGGGGGGCAACGCCGGCACTAAGATGCACAGGGAGACAGAAACGGCCCCGAGCCCGTGTGACATTGTCCCCTCTGAACCAGCGCGGCAAACCGAGCTCTGGCTTGGCCACCACCAAGCCCAGCCCTGGCACAGGCTTCCCTGCGGCAGGGGCTGTGCTCAGCCCCTCACCGCTGCGCCTGGCCTCCTCTCCCTCCGGCTGCCACCACCCTTCGCCAGCTCTTTGCGTTGCTAAGCTGCGGCCCGGCACGGACCCTGCGCGCTGTACCCCAGCCGAGGGAGGGACAGACGGATGTCCCCACGCCAGTGACTTGCGCACAGCCCTACACCAAGACACCAGTGCCATGGGTGCTCCCTCCACGGGAGGGATGGGGATGGCTGGGGTGACCTGGGCACCCACGGGTGCCTCCGACCTCTCCTTGTAATCCTGGCACCTCCGTCCCTGCAGTTCCTCTCTACACCCCAGCCCTGGCACCGTCGCAGTGGCTGCTTAACCTACCCACGCGGGACGGCTCGCGCCCGGCCGCTGTGCACTGCCCAACTGTCCCTGTCACCCCATCCTTCTCCACGGGGGACGGGCTCCCCGGTTTTGCACCACAGCTAAGCGGGACGCCTGCCTCGGGGACGGCCGGGGCCGTGGGAAAAGGGGAGGCAGAGGTCGGGTGACCTGAGGACACGGAGGTATCTAGCGGGGGGTGCCGGGCCCCTGGCCCCGGTGCGTCTTCGGGGGACGGGCTCGGCTTTTCCAGCTCAGCGTCCTTAAAGAAAGGGACGGCGTATATAGCCCCTCGCGACTCAATCTCCACTTGCGCTTTGGGCAGCTGCAGCTCCTCCAGCTTTTCTGCCACTGTAACAATCTCCTGGAGGCCCTCGGGCTCTCTGGCTCGGTATTTTTCTTCTTTTTTTTTGTCTCTTCTGTGGGCAGAAAGAAAGTGGGATATTACTGCCCTGTCCTGGCCCCGCGGCAGGCAGAGATGCCCTCGCCCCAGCGTGGGGCTGGAGCCCTGGGGACAGCCTGGCACCCAGGTGGGGACCCAGCTCTCCTCGACCTCCCCTTTCCCCTCTACACAGGGTCAGGATCAGGCCCTTCCCAGGCTCTGCCAGCATCAGCAAAGCTGACAGCCCCGGCGGGAGCTGTGGGGCTTGGCAGGACGCAGTGGGGCCGGATCCTGAGCCCTGTTTCCCCGAGGCGATGCTGATTTACACCACCTGCGCTGGCCTCGGAGCCATGCTCCAGCCTGGCTCCCACCGCAGCTGCCCGGCCAAGGCTTGTGGCTTCGGCAGGCTTCCAGGCAGCGCCGAATTTTACACTCGCAGCATTTTCTGCTCATCCCTGCCCTTCCCGACAGCAGCTCTCCCCGCTTCTCCTCCTCCCGCTCCAGCAAACCCTAAACCTGGATGCATCCCCCCCCTCCCCACCCCGGGGAGCGCAGACGTGTGTGGGGAGTTAGTGGGTTACAGGGGTCGCGGAGTCGTGGGACGGGTCCATCCTGCCTAACCCATGGGTTTCCCTGCCGAGAGACGGGGAAACTGCGGCACGGAGTTGCACGGCATCCAATTGTTCCGGGGGAGAGCATCCCCGTCCTGCAAGCCCCTGAGGGCACACGTGGAGATGTGGGACCGGGAAGGAGGAGCGGAGGGGTGGCTCTTCCTCCCTCCGTGCTGGTTATCCCTGCCAGCTTCCATCTTTGCTCATCCCCTCCTGGCTTATTGCCTACGGCCCCCAGCACACAGGCAGCGCAGGCAGCGCAGGCAGCACAGCACCGCTGGCTGCAGGCCTTGATTCCTGTTCACCGCTGTGAGATATCGCCCAAAACCAGCCTTGCAGGCTGTGCCCAGCAGCCTGCAGGGACCCAGCAATGCCCCCCGGCCGGCAGCCGCTGGGGGATGAACCATCCCAGAGCCGCGCCCACACAGCTCACGCAGACCGACAGTGCCACGCAGGACATCCCTGTTCCGTCGCGATATATCAGCATGCACTATAGAGATTGTGCAGAGCACCCGTCCTCTAGCATGATGTATCAGCATGCAGTATCGGGACCATGCAGGTTATCCCTCCCCTGTCACGATATATTGGCATGCAATACGGAGACCATGCAAGGCATCCCTATCCTACCATGGTAGGGTGATGTGCGCGATTGAGGTGGTACAAAACACCCCTGCTCTATCGCGATATCGCGACACGCAACACAGAAAGCACGCAAGGATCCTGATATGATCCCGACCCTGCAGGATATCCCAGCTCTGCTGCACCCAGTGGGTGGCTGGAGCCGGCACCCTGCACCCACCGGGCACCTGCGCCCTTGCCCGGAGGCTTCCCAAAACCTCAGGCTGGCCCCTGCCCGGGAGCACCCGCGGGCCGGCGGGGTGCTCCTCTTTACCTCGAAAGCAGTACGCATCGTATCTGCTCTGGGCATCGGGGAATCCCGTCTGGTTGCGGAAGAGGAAGATGGTTTTGACGCCCGGCAGAGCCCCGCCGCAGCGTTCCCGAGGGGTGACGATGGGGTAGCGGACACTGCCGTCGGCCAGCCAGCCGGGGCTGCAGGCGTCCAGCCCCGTGCTCCAAGCCGCGTAGAGCTGCCCCGTGCTCGCCAGCTCCGCGCCCAGCGCCTGACAGCGTGCCGCCGCCTCCTCCAACGTGAATTTGTCTGGGGCCGTCTCCAAAAAGATCTCCCCTGCGAAGAGAGGAAGGAGACGGGCGTCAGAGCCGGGGAGGGGGGCATGGGCTCCGGGAGCCCCCTCGCCTCCTCCGCTCTCTGCATGACCCCAGGAGCTGGCTTGGAGATGGACACCTCCAGCGTCGTCCTCGCAAGGAGAAGCACTGGGGGCTGGAGGGCCCTGCTTGCATCCCTGCCTGCATCCTTGCCTGCATCCCTGCCTGCCTCCGGTCTTCCCGCACATGCACACGACAACCGCGGCGCAGGCACGGCTGGAGCTCTCGTGCCACGCGGGATACCTGCCCTCGCAAACATTGCTGAGACTTTAAAACCTCGGTGAAAGGGACTGCAGAGGAGCAAGTCCACGCCCTGCACAGCGCCATCAACGTACGGGACATTTCCAAGGGGAGCTGCGAGCCCAGCAGACGCTGTGGTGGGGCTTCATGCGGAGACGGGCTGAAGACCGCTACCCTAAGGTACGCCACGTGACAGCCCCCGCAACCGCACCGGTCTCCCCGTCCCCCCGCATCGCGCCCCGCACACCAGCAACCTGCACCGCATCCCTGCCACCTGCCTGGCATCACCCCAACCCACCCCACAGCAGCCGCAGCCGCCGGCGGGGAGCCCCATCAGGGCCCGAAGGAGGGAGTGGCCACCCCCGCGGGTGGGATGTGCCCGGGCTGCAGGACACGCAGCACCCAGCACATGCACAGCACGGCGTGAGCTTGCCCAAACCCCAAACCCCCACGCAACGCTGTACCCATGGAGTGCTGCCAACCCAGGGCCGATCACCCTGGGCATCCTCCAGCCGTGAGGCCGGGGCTGGGCACCGACTGCTGCAAGTGAGAGCGCCCCGCGCCCCGCAAAACCAAACCAGAAACGCTTCGGGAAGCAGCACAGCAAGTCCCCGCGCTTGCGTGCATCGAAGTGCCCAAAGCTTTGCAGAGCCCAGAGGTTTCGGAGCCAGCGCCTGTGGTTCAGGGAGGCTTTTTTGTTTGGGTTTACACCGGGTTATGGGGGTGAGTTAGCACGGCCGCAAAAGCAGGGGAGGGCAGGACGGGGCTGGCGGTACCGCAGGCACCTGGGAGGTCCTCAGCGTAGCAGTACACGTCATACATGTCCTCCGGGTCCAGCACCCCGTAGTTCCTCACCCCGGGGAAGCCGTTCATGTCTCCGTAACAGGCCTCGCGGGGCGTGTGGATGGGGTACCTGGGGCAGGAAAGCACAGGGGAGGGCTGGCGACTCGCGGAGGGGTGAAGAGGAAGGCGACGGGCACGATACCCGGGTGGCGGGGGTGCCCACCTGACGGTCTGGTCTGCGATCCAGCCGGCATCGCACTGCTCGTAGCCGCCGAGGTAGGCAGCGTACAGCTGCTCCGGGGTGGCGATGCGGGCGCCGATCCTGGCGCAAGCTTCTTGTGCCTCGGCGAAGGTGTAGGCGTAGCGCATGGAGCCCTCCCGGTAGTGAAACACCACCCCTGCGGGGAGGACGTAGGCATGGGCAAGGGGCTTCTCGGCAGCTCCCACCTGCACGGGTGCCTCTTTGCAGCAGCCCCCCACCCACGCGGGTGCATCTGCAGGAGGGGTTTGCTGAGCCAGGAGAGGGCACCTGGGCACCCACCCCAAATCCCACCGCTCCCCGCCTTGAGGTACCTTTGACTTTGACGTCGAGGATGTCGTGGCCGTCCTCAATGCCGTGCTGCACGTCGCAGCGGTAGATCCCCGAGTCGTTGGGCCGCAGCTCGGTGAGCAGCAGGGAGGCGTTGGTGTAGCGCTGGTGGAAGATGGGCAGGGAGGCGCGGAGGCGATAGTCCTCGCTCACCTTCACCCTGTCCCCCCGGGCTACCAAGATCTCCACCTCCCTGCCCTCAGAGATGAAGGTCCACTTGACCCGGGGGGTTCCCAGGACCGCCCGGCGCCCGGCCGTGCCGGCGGTGGGCTGGGGGCCGAGGTAGGTGATGAGGCAGGGGATGGTGATGTCGCCCGCCAGCACGGCGTCCAGGGCTGGGTGGCGTGGGATGGAGACCTGCAGAGCCTTGAGGTCCTCTGGGAGAAGAGAGGAGCCATGAGCAGGACTGGCGCAGGGCACTGGCAGGGCAGGGAGCGGCACGGATGCGGGCAATGATGTTGAGTTACCTGTGCCGTCTCCAGGGCCAAACACCTCCGGGACCACCGTGGGGGCAAACAGCCAGAGCAGCAGCAGCGGGAGGGCTGAGGCCATCCTCTGCCCTGCAAGGGGGAAGGAAAAAGCCACCAGCTGTGCTTAAAATTCAAAGAAGCATCCAAAATATCCCTTCCCTGCACGAGGGGGAGAGGTCCAGGAGAGACCCCAGCCCGCGTGTGTGGGGATGGGGTGATGCGTGTGGCATCGGGGCCAGCACCGGCACAGCAGTGGTGTCACCTGGACCCTGGGATGACGGAGAGGGGAGAGAAGAGAAGGAAATGTGCCCTGGTTAACAGGAGGAAGGAGGGAGCACGAGCAACCGGGACCATTGGCTGGGTGCCACTGGGTCCCATCCAGCCCCACCAGCCTTCCCAGGGTCCCCTGGAGACAGCGGAGCCCAGCCTGGCCCTGACGGCACGGAAAGTCTGAGCCCAAACCCTGGCCCTGGCATGCCGGAGCTGGGGCTGCGCGTTCACAGGCGCCGCAGTGAAAAACCTCAGAAGGGTTTTTTTTAATAGTTGGTGTTCAGCAAGAAAGAGGCAGCGAGCCCCGGCCGCGGAGGCGAGTGTGCAAGCAGGGCATGCACGTGCGCGCTTGTGCTTCTGCACGCGTGTCGCAGCGTGCACATACGTGTGCGTGCGCTCGTGCACGTGTGCATTGC